TTTTCAAAAATAAAATAACAGTTCACACTATACTTTACTGTAGTAAAGGCTACGATATACTGATTTACATTACACTGATTACAACACATTATGATGGTGATGGATAATATTGACAAAAATATTATATTTTAATTATAGTGAATTTCTTGGTATTTTGTTCAAGACGTATTGTATACTATTAATAGTACATTAATTGGTTTCAATACAACTAAGATAAGACAAATTCAAAATAATTAGATATAAGATATATAAGATGTTTACTGCAGAAATGGGACATGTCATGGACATGTTCCCATTCTGCAGTAAAGTGAAATTTCCAAACACTATATTTAGCGTTTGGGTAGTCGGATTTGACTCTTTTCTACTTTAAACGATGTATTTAAGCGTGCTTAAAAAAAAATGATAATAAAATCAAAATTGATAAAAATGGACTTGTCCCGTTTCTGCAGTTAGCGATTCATATAATTGATTAGGTAGGTCGTGATAAGGTGTTGAAACTTTTAAAGCAACAATTAAAAGTATTTGAAATGAGCTGTTAAATTATTTTTGTATTATCAATATATTGTTATTTTTAATTAAAATATTATAAATAAATTTTTAAAATTATATTTAAGATGTCTGTTACCACTTTTACTCAGCTCTCACCGAACGGATTTCTTTCAACGATACGTCAAAAGATCACAAATTGTATCTAGTCGAAGACATTACCCTCAAAAATTGAAAAAATTTCCCTCGTTCCCCGTAAATGGGGGAAACCTCCAAAAAAATTACAAATTTAAAAATCGCTAATTTTTGAAATTTTTTCAATTTTTTTTTACTAAAAACTGCCGTAACTTTTTCAAAAATGAACATATCAATATAATTTTTTTTTTTATAGATGCTTGATATTTTTATCTATCATTTGGTATATATTTTTTGTAAATTTGACACTTAATGTGCCCACCGGGGGGGAATTAAAATGACTACTTTTTTACAAAAAATTTACTTTTTCAACTTAACTTTTGAAAATGTTCCGGAAGGTCTGACACTTTTATATATATCTTACATTAAAGCTTATGTAATATACTTAAATATTAAAAAAAAAAATTTTGGACTTTATTTTGTCTTCATGGTGAAAATGGCAGTCGAATGCTATTTTTGTGTGAAATTTCTCAATTTTATATTTTACATTTTTTACTTTAAAATGCTATAACTTTTTAAAAAATGTATGGATCAATACAATTTTTTCATGAGAAGTAGTATTTATATATATCTTTCATTGGGCATACTTTTTTTTTTAAATCAGACCATTTCCCTATATACGGGGGGGCTTCAAATATAAAAAATTCATATATAAAGTAGAACTTTTTCAACTTAACTTTTGAAAGTGTTCCGGAAGGACTGACACTTTTATTTATATCTTAAATTGAAGCTTATGTAATATACTTTAATTTGAAAAAAAAAATTTGACCTCTGGTCTTGTCTTTGTGATGAAAATAGACATCAAAGTTAATAATAAATTACGATTTTTGTAAAATAATTTTTTTTATATTTTAAACTTAATAATGCTATAACTTTTCGGAAAATGTATGGATCACTAAATTTTATTTTTTTATATATGCTTGATGTCTTTACGTATCATTTAACATATAATTTTTGTAAATCTGACACTTAACCTGTCCACAGGGGGGGATTTAAAATGACAACTTTTTCACAAAAAATTAACTTTTTTAACTTGACTTTTGAAAGTGTACCGGAAATACTGACACTTTTATATATACTGCCGGCTAAAATTATTAGATCACACAATAACTTTAAGATTTTTTTCAAATAAGATTTGATATCTTGTTGGTTTATTAAATATTATTATAATATTAACAAACATGATTGCTGTAGATTCAAAGAAAAAATAATTCACCTGCAAAAAATTATCGACAGAAATTTTAATTGGAATTTCTTTGGTGATCTAATAATGTTGGCCGCCAGTATATATTAAATTAAAGCTAATGTAATAGACTTTATTATGAAAAAAAAAAATGTAAACGTTTGTAAAAAATTTTGATTAAGACCGCAAGGTCGTCTCAAATATATATTACTTGTAAAAAAAAACATGTACAAAAAATACATAAGAGATTACAAATACAGGTAGCAAATTGGTTTTTTAAGACGATATTCGCAGGTATATAGCCTTTATTATCAATGGTCATGAGACACGTTGTGAGTTTATAAACACACTAACTGGATATACAAAAATTTTATCTATTGATAGTGATAACTGACAATAAACACTCCGTGACTGTTACAGCGATGTCATAAAAAACTAAAAAGTGAAAAAAAATATAGTTAAAAAAAATTGAAAAACATGCTTTTAAAGCATATTGAACTAAAGAGTTAAAAATAATTTTTAATATAAGCTTAAAACAATAATGAACGAAAAATACTAGTATTATTGTAAAAAAAAGCGTGGGAACTTTGTGCCATATTTTTCGTATATTGAGCGCCCGACGCTTTTTTTCACAATGGTACTAGTATTTTTCGTTCATTATTGTTTTAAGCTTATTTTAAAAATTATTTTTAACTCTTTAGTTCGATATGCTTTATAAGCGTGTTTTTCAGTTTTTTTTAACCATATTCATTACTATTCAAAAGTAGAAATCTTGACTAGTTTTGTTGTGCTAAAACTGCGTTTTAAAACATTGTACAACCCCAATATGTACTGAAAATTTAATCTGTTGCAATACCCAAGTTGCCCCTGATTTAAATATAGTTAGATAGGTTGTTCGAGTGTGACGAAGCAGTTTGGTGGATGAGCGCCGGTTTTTCTTCTCCTCATTAAGAACGCGACCTACCACAACTGGTTTATCTGTTGGGGTAGTGTGTGGCAGTGGTCGCGAAAAAGTTATTCGCGTACCGGCCGAGTATATCGCGCCGCACATAGGTTTATTAATAATAATACAGATTTCTCATAAAAAAATGGAATTAAATTTAATAAAATTTAAAAAAAAGACATTATTGTAACTCTCTTGATATGGGAGGTCAAAATTTCATTATTTATCGATAGAAGTGGCATAGATAATTTTTGAATTTATTTAAACGTGAAAAAAAGTTTTACTTAAAATCCTTACAGGGACTATAAAAGAATTAATTGTTTTTTAATGATGTCAATATTAACTTGCTCACTATTATGTTCACAGGATAAGTTCCAATAAAAATTATTTAATTTAAATATTATAATATAATAGAGAGTAATATCAAATACTTACTTTTTTAGATATTTATATAAGATACTACTATACATCGTAATCTAAAAATAGTTTTATTACACGAATTCAAACCACCTGAACAAATTAATCGAATCATTTATGTTTAGTCCAATGACAAAATAATGTTTTATTGGTTGAATAACTAATAATACGGGTTTGATTTTAATTTTAGAGTAAATTTCTTTTAATATGTTTTGTTATTTAAAATTTCTTACTATTTTCTAAAAATTAAAAAAAATCTACTATTCAAATAGTTTGAGCTAAAAAATTAGAAACTAACATTATTACAAACTCTTTATTTAATCTTGTGCTCGTATGCACATGTAGTGGTGTTCTAACTAATCTAACACCATAGAACATGTATTTAGTATGAGGTTATTATTATTAGCGGAATAAATTGAATAGAAAGGATTTGAGGTATCATAAAAAAGTCCACGCGCATGTGTTGAATAAGGGTATTGACTCCATTTTGGGCATATACATATTTTGACTATGAATTTATAGAAAATGATTTTTAAGTCAATTTTTCTCTTTAATTCATATTTAATACATGTTGTAGTTGTCATAATACATGTATATGAAATGATTATTTTAGATAATTAATTATCTTTTTGATTTGATACTATGCTTGTTATTTTTATTTATATATTATGTTTAGTTTATTAAGCATACAGATACTTTCTGTCGATTTCTTTTAAATATGTTTATAATACAAATTTGTTGATATATTTAATCAAGTTTATTGTTATATATATATATATATCTTTTGTTTTATAATAAGCTTACTTTTCAATTGTACTTTTTTTTGTCCACGCAGAGTTTATATTAGGGCACGATTTTGTATTTGTGCATAGCACTATTTTTTTTATAATTTATCTAGGAATGTTATATATTATATTTAAATTTCAGAACGGTTATAAGTATATAAGTTTATACACTCATTATCAGAATAGTACAGTATTATTAATCGTGTGTTATCTCATATATGATGTAAGTCATATGATGATATATATGACATACATTTGGGGTTCAACTATGATAACTATGCTATCCAAAGTCAAATCATAGTAACTAAAATTCTTATCCAAATTTTTAAAATTTTCCCAGAAATAATAACCTGCCGATTTTTTTGTATTTATTCTATAATATTAATACAAATGTTATAATTAGAATATTAATAATTATTGTGTATATTAGTGAATTTTTGAAGAGATATATGGGCGATTGCCCCCTTGAATCAGCGCTATAAATATTTTTTTAGGCAACTTAAAAGAAATATGGACCTAATAACCTATTATTACCATCACTTAGATTTATAACAAAAAAAAAATTCTATAGCATGTTTACTAAAGTAAAAATAATAAATACTCTCCTAAAATTGTTAAAAGCGCCCAAGAGAAATACCTCATTAACAAACGTCAACCTTATACCCAATACATTTTAGTACGTTTTCTCTTTGAATTTTCTTGATCTTAATAATTCAACTTTTAATATATTTTTGTTACACCAATTCTGATGTAATATCTCTCCAGAAAAACACTTATCGTGCCTGGTGTAGCCAAGTACTCCTACCGGAAACAGTGGTCTACTTACGAGGATGGCCCAAAGAGGCTTACGTCCGAAGGCTCGTGAGGGTTGCAGAGATACAGGTCTAGGGCGGAGCCCTAACTAGAAGAAGCGTAGTTAATAAATATAAAAGATATTTAAAATTAAATATAAATTGTTGACGTCATAATGATAATTAGATTGATCTAACTAATTTTTCAATATTTTATTAAATAATTTCACAAAATAGTTAAATATATATCCCAAATTTTGATCATATCTGACAATTAAAAAAATGACATTATTTAAAGTAAAACAATAACAACCATAATTATGAATCAAACACTATAAAAATTGTTTAGTTAAAATAAACTTTTAATATTTCCACTAAATTGAACTTAATTTAAATTGAATTTAGATAGTAAATAACTTTTTAATTATGAAACAACAATGAAAATTGATAAAAAGTTATAATTTTACATTTCTTGAGATACTTTATGTTTATTCTATGAAAATTTAACAAATAGAAGAAAATAAAATTTATTATCTATAAAATTATGATTCACCACATTCATATCGAACAAAATCTAATACATCTATCCCATACTCAGTTGCAACTTGTCCAACAGTCAAAGAAGGATCTAGAAGAAACGCTTGTTCTAGCATTCCATCTTCTTCAAATTCTACATTTTTTCTTTCATCAACACTAGTATCTTCATTTACAGTTAATGTATCATTATTAATAATTTCATCTTGAGATTTAGGCGATTCATAAGTTCTAAGAACACCTACAATTTTTGGATTCATACCTAAAAAATTATTTTTAGATTTATACTTCCATATTAACAATTTATAAGTCATATTCTAAAAAAATTCTTGGTTCATTATTTTACTTAATAATTACAAAAAAAAAAATGTTTATAATAAATATTTTAAATTTTGATCTATTATATAAAATATTATTACTATTATTATTTTATTAAAATTTTTTTTTTATTATTGAATAATAATTAATGATAAATAAATTATTTTTTGGCTTATTAACATTCAATACTTATTCCAACAACATAAAATTAATTATTAAATGAGTTCACTTAATTTATCAAACTCAAGATGTATTATAAATACATGTACTTAAAATTCATTAGCTCATAGCTAAGATAATATCTTAGATATTTAAAAAGTCTCATTAAACAGCAAAGTTTAAAATTGATTTTATACATTATTTGAGCTAACTAAAATATCTACCAATTTTTAACCAATACATATTGAAATCTAAGTCTTACTTAACCTTTTTTAACATTTGATACTAAAAATTATAATCAATTTTGTAAAATTATGTCATGTATGGGACTTCTACAACTCCAACATTTTGGCTACAGTTATAAACATGGTTTAAACTGTCAGATCTAATCAAGTTTATTTTTTGGTAGTCTCTATTAGTCTATTTAAAGTATTTAACTTTTATTGAGCTAAACACAATCATACCAGACTTTAAAATCAAACTGGCTAATTAAAAATTTATTTCTATTGTTTACATTATCGACATAAATTTTCCAAAATTATCAAATTATATTATAAAATAGAATAACCCTAAAAATAATTTTGCATAATTAGCCACATTAAATTTAAAAAAATGTTTTTTGACATTTTATAAATTAATTTAATTAAACTATGTAGGTATTTCAGCAAGATATTACACATTTCATTTACCAATAACATGTTGACACATTTGACGAAGAATTTCATTATGAGAATTGTCTAATGATTTTTCATTTATATTGTGATCATCTAAATGTCGACGATAAATGATTAAAGATCCATATTTTCCAGTTAAATAATGATTTCCAGTAGAATTAGCAGGATGAGTGACACCAATAATGTTTAATCCAGTATCTTGTGTGTTTAAACAGGTGGCTCGCCTAAGAGTTAGATTCTCTCCCAAGTTACCAATAGTTACAGCAATATGGTCAGCTAAAGATTTACCTTCAGTTCCACTTAAAGCCATTAACTCTCCACTTTTTAAGTTAACCTATAAATTAAATTATGTGAGAAAATGTGTTCATAATATAATATATTTAACATAAACACCAAAAATGAAAATGAATTTTTAACTGATGTAAAAAAAATTAAAAAAAGTATTTCAAATCAAAATTGTAAAAAATTATTAATAATACTTTAATTCATTTAATTTTTTTGCAGTTTTCTAAAGAAAACAAATGGTAGAGATTATAGAATATAAAAAATTATTTTATTTTTATTTATGTACACTTTTTACATAATAAGTTCTATTTGATTTTAAGTACAAAGTTTTAATGATAATAAGAAATAAATATCTAGATACAACCTCAAAACATTTTTTAAAGTTTAAATTAGTATTATGAAACAAACAATTTATTTTTTATTTGTATTTCTTCGGAGTAGAAATAAAAAAACTAGACTAAGATATCTTACTTTTTTAACACATAAAACAAATGTTTTGATAATAATGAGTTTTAGCTCTAATTAATAAAAATAAAAATACCATATTTAGATAAAACTCCAACATACAAGAATTACCTTTGAAAAAGAATTCTCCAAAGCCTTTTGTTTTTTAGCAAAATCCAAACATGATGATGTCACAACATCAACTACAGATTGAAAAGATTTGTTTCGGGCAACAAAATCAGTTTCACAGTTTACTTCAACCATAGTAGCAACTTGTTTTTGGTTATCAACAGCTAATGCAATTACACCCTGTGAAGTGACACGATTGGCGAGCTTATTAGCTTTTGCCCATCCTAATCTACGTGCTTCTTCTTTAAGCCATTCTTCAGACTAAATAGCATAAATTTGAAATATTTAATATAAATCCCAATTTAAAAATTCAGAGATACAATTTTACCTTTTCCAAATTATTATTATTTAACTCTAATGCTTTTTTGCAGCTTTCAAATGTGTAGCCTGTTTTCTTTCTAAGCTTCATTAATTGTGCTTTAGTAGATGACCAATTGGTATTATTTAAATGTATATTTCTTAAAATTGTAAGAGATTTTAACATTATTCTGTTCAAAATAACAATAAACTATGTATTATTAAAATATTGTAAGAGATATTAAAAGGAAAATTAAAATTAAAAAGTTACTTAAATAAAACTATACATCATTAACTTTTTTATTATTTCCCTATAATACACAAAATTAAATTTGAAGTTTAAATTGCTAATATGAAAAAAATAGATGTGAAAATAAAAAAAAAACGTATAATTAGGGATTTACCTTAATTTTTACTCAAACAAAATAATGTAAAAGTAGTACACTAAGAAAATAAACTAAAATAAAAAAAATTAAAAATACTCTTCAACTTAAAACTCGATTCCTAAATATAAAGTGTTAAATTGTAAGATAATATGTAGTTAATCAATAAAAGAAATAGAAAACTATTCTTTTAAAATTTCATAAAAGTTTGAGTTACTTTCTTACAATAATAAATACAAAAACTGTCAATAAGATACACAAAAATATACAATAGGATAACTATCAGCAATGCCGGCTCATGATCGGACCATGATTAATTTTGTTAACTTCTACACACTATTTCCTTAGATAATTTTCAATCACTGATTTCATATTTTTTCACATAGTGATAATAGATAAACAAAATGTAGAGCCTATCATTTTGCGCATGCGTCTTTTATATCATATCAATGATCATTATTTAATTTAAAAGTCAATGTGGATTCCACCATGCCACCCCACAACTCTATCATCTGTGATACAACAAGGTATTTAGTCTTGTCTTTATTGATGTTTAGTCTCATATTTTTTCCTTCCACTATATTTCTTACTCAATCTTCTGTGTCACCCATCATAATCATATTATCTGTGTGCGCTTCCATCGCCATATTTTGTTCTTCAATTTTTAGACCTATGGAATCTTTTTGGACTTTCCTTACTACTGATTCCAGGCAATGTTGAAGAGTATGAGGGATAATACATTCTGTTGTCTCAAACCAATTTTTACTGAAAAATCTTCTGATATTACTGAGTTCAATTTTACTATACATTTAAAATTTTGAACACAAACCTTCACTAATCTTACAAGTTTCACTTCATTTTAAACACTCATCAGTCATTATTTAAAAATGAATACTTTTATAACTTTATTAAAAATTACAACAATCTTAACTTCGGTTTAAATGGTTAACAACCTTATAGAACTCTGAATTAAAGGTGGCCATTGCTCGGTTTTTTAAATTTAGAGACTTCATATTTTTTATTAAACATAGAATAAAATTTAAAGCATAAATGGATTAATAGGGTTATTGACGACTGTACGTCTACAGGCGTCAATAACTATATCGTATGATGTAGGTGCCTCATTATAATTTTGGACTTAGAGCGTCATGGATCTTAATCTGGGCTTGGTTTCGCTACTGACCCTTTGACATAATCGATCCTAGTTACAGCATAGTATACGTGAAGTATTACCAAATAACAGTAATATTACTTCCATGGGTGTTTTTAAACCATTTTTGTAGGTCGTATCCATGAGGCAAAAAGCGGAAGGTGGATTAAATTAATCACCTTACACCACTTTTACTTTATTTTAATTAAATCTATATAATACACAAGCTAAATTCTTGAATTACCAAATTTCGCAGGTAGTGTCCGAACATTTAAGCACTATGATTAATTAACAATTTTTCATATACTCAAAAAAAAATATATACGTTTTTTTATTGATTCTCTACTCCTTACGCCCGAGTACTAAATACTTTACTTTATAAATCTCGTTTAATTATTTTACTACTTGAAATATATTTCTTAAATAAAATCATGTTTTTTTCTAATTATTAATTAATAGATAATTTTTTTTAATTTTCAATTTTAACCAACTTATTAAGTTCTATTTCATATAACTATTTAAAATAATTTTTCTTGATGCATGATTCCATTATTGATAATATAGAACGAGACAAAACGATATAGCAGACTGAAACAACAGATAGAATAGATCCAGATGAACTTAAAGGCATTGTTACTTCATCAATCCATTGTTTAAAATTGTTTACACGCATATAGTGAAATTCCTTTTTAATATCTTTTCCTGAAGGGATTAGCCAATGGTGACTAGCAATGCCGTATTGCAATCCATTGCAAATCAACGGATCTCCTATTTCTTCATTAAGAAAATTTTTATCATCAAATTGAGCACAGAAATATGCATCCCAATTTCGAAGGTAAGTTTCTTGCCTTAAAAAAAGATTAAAATATACAAATAATCAAAAAATAAATAAATAAATTTACTTTCCGGGTTTTCGACAAGCTTTAGGACCATATTTTACATTTACTGGGACAAAATAATGTTGTTTTAAAGGTCTTTTAATTATCACCACACAAAAATGGCTAATTACTTTCTTATTATTTGACAATTTCGAAAACTCGGCAAGCTTTACATAATTTTCGACAACAAATGGTACTTCGAGCTATAAAAATAATTATAATGAGTGTCTTTTTTATAAAAATTGTAAAAAAAAAATCAAATGATTTACTACAATAATGCCAATGTTTGCGTTCATGCCACGTAGTGCATAATCAGGATGGACACGAGGACGACCGTAACTAATTTGATCTTCTTCTACACTAAGATGTACCTAATTCAATTAAAACTAAATTATATTAAATTTAAATTATTATAAAACTAAAATATTGTTCTTAATAAATTAATTATTTTCGCTTACAGTTATGTTGGTCGACCTACTTATACAGTAAGCCGAAGTGAGTACATGAATTGGTGAAATTAATGATCCACCACATACTGGTTCCCCAGCATTGCCTTTCAAATACACCAAATAAGGGAAATCGTTTGGGTTAAAAGTACTTTTTCCAACAGATGTTATTGTTGATAACTTGGCTGTAGTAGTTGTTGTAACGTTGTCACTTGTCATATTAGATATAGTTGAGACAATCCACTTGACATAATCAACGATGAGTAAATGTCTGATTTGAATATCTTGGTTGCCACAATTTGTTTCTTCGGCGCCTACAAACGTTTTGGTGCTATATCCATAACTAGTGATGCCTAATTGTCGACCGCGGCATATAAGAGGATCACCTCGATTACAAGGAAACGGAAACGAACTAGTAGATACGGAGCAAAGGAAATTACTCCATGTATCAGCAATAATATATTTTATACTAGACCTGTAAATAATAATAAAATATACATATATTTAACACTTTTTTAATCTAAAATTATTATTTTATCTAAATTGACACTGCACGTGAATAATAATGATAAATAATTAAAACATGAAAGAAAAAAGTGATTATCGACTACGTCCATGACTATGGTGACACTCACATTGATTCTGGAATTTGACAAGCACTACGACCATACTTCACTCGGACCGGTACTCTGTAACCACGACTTTTTGCATCTCCAATACCCATAACAACACATTGCATCTCGGCATCGTTTTCAAATGATTTTGGAAAACTTGAGTATAGTTTGGCAAACTTGTTAGTTTGGCTGAAGGGTTTAACTAGCTATTATATGAGATACAGTCAAGTGAAATGTTAGAATAGAAAATTGTTGATATTTGCCTTAAGTATTGATACGTCACCCAAACGCTTAGCACTTTCATAAGACGAATGGACGTTAATGCTGATCACTTGACGATATTCAGTCCTATTAATTTGTTTGGTTTGATACGCTATCACCTAAATTTTCAAAACAAATATTCCATCGTGATGACAAAATGTTATTTAAACCGATCAACTGTTAAAATACTTTATAATACTTTATTGTGGCTAAAACGTGATATACAGTAAGCTGAAGATAAAACTAATGTGGAAGTTATAAGAGTTCCAGTGCAAAGCATAACTTTTTTCATAGGCTTGACTGACTCAATACCAACTATGTACTCGGAAATGCTAAAATTTAATGAAGTCGTACTATCATTATTAGTATTATTTTGAGTGATATCTTTACTTAACATCATCCCAATAATTGGAAACAAAACAGTTAAAATATTAGTAACACACATCATATTGATAAAATAAAATGTTCAAATACAAAATGATTTAAAACGTAAATAAATAGGGCGTTTGCTATGCAACCACAAATTAAACGAAACTTTCATTTAATCTGTGCTGCAACTAAATGTAGAGTCAGCTGATAGTCTGACGCGTTCTCACATAGGATATTAAGTAACTAAGCTAATTTTTCAATGAGGGACATTCCTCCTGTAACCATTATTGGGAATACGATAATGGGCACCAATGTTCCTGTAAAATTGGATTACAAATTATTAAAATTCATTAAATTCAAAATATTTATCACTTCTTCAAACTTAGTAAAACTACTGTCGTAACACAAAACAAACCCCTAAACAAAACATAAAAGGAAGGGTATTAGAGTAGTGTGTACGAAGATGATGTTAAGTCTGCTGCCTCGGTATTCATGTGCACGTGATCATACAGCAATTATCGTGCTCGGCTGACACTCCGGATTAGATGTGGGTGTCCAAAGGCCGTTGTTATAGGAAGGTATTAAGGGTAACGCCTAGGGATGAGGTGCACATGAAGTGCAAGACATAAATACTTTGGTTATTAGGAAAGGATAATGAAGTATGAGGTCCAGACGAAGTGAAAGACACAAGTACTCTGAAATATCGAGTACGAGAGTAGGTAAGTGAAAAGGAAAAACAAAAACTTGACTTTATGGAGTAAGCCGAACAGCGACAACTGAGTACTGAGACTGATGAATGATACAAAGCATTGAAATCAACTGATCACGATGGCCAGGTTTTTTGGGTTTAAATAGTAATTCGAACGATTGCCAATTTTGCAATAAATATTAATCGACAATACATCAGTCTTTAGAGGCGGATGCGTTGTTTGTATTTTATCATAATAATTTATTACAATAATGGTAACGCGACACCATCAAACTACGTATATAATAAATAAATTATATTCTGCCAATTTATCTTTCATTTTGCTTATAGTTCCATTATTAACCCATATAGTCGGTCTAAACTGGTTAGTATTTCTATTGAAATGATTTATTACGATTGGTCGGTAGCTCACGAAATATTTTTTCAATTTTTAAGGGTAATATCTTCGACTAGATACAATATGTAATCTTTTGACGTATTGTCAAAAGAAATCGGTTCTGTGAGAGCTGTGAAAATTTCGTAACAGATACAAAAAAAAACACATCATAGTAAAATTAATATTTTCTCAGCTTCGCATTAAATATATATCCATAACTATAACGCGCTCATGTGAGTATTAAGTTCATATTTAATTTCATGTAACTGAAAAATGTATAGGAAGCATTTCCCAAAAAAATCTATAATATCAAAAACAATCGGTCCGATGAGAACTGAAAAAAAGTGGTGACAAATAGAAAAAAACATATCATAGTAAAATTAATACCTTCTCAGCTTCGTATCGAAGCTAAATTGTTTATATTATTTTATTCTATAAGCAATTGAGTGGGTATAAATGATAAAAATTACTATGTATATTTAAAGAAGAAAATGAAATTAAAACATTTTAACTATACCATTAACCCTTCCATACTAATACCAAATCGCTTTAGACTAATATTATCTAAATGAGGTTTCTATAATTATTATACATCACTCAAAATAAGTAATTACTTAGGTGCAAAGATTTCAGATAACTAAATAATTACTAAACTTAAATTGATTACAAGAGTATCTTTTTTTTATTTTAATCGAGTATAAATATTGGTGCCCGGAGAAAAAAACAGTAAATACCTGTTACCTCTGATGCTAGTTTGAAATGGTCCCAGAGGTCCTAAAGATTGGAAACTTATACAGGGTGTTCAGTAAGTCAGGAAACGGGTTTCTATTGTTCTCATTGTTACAAACAATGAGAACAATAGAAACCCGTTTCCAGACTTACTGAACACCCTGTATAAGAAGGCCTAGTTCTGTAAATTCTTCCCTAACTATTTTATTTTAATATTAAGTGTAAGAAATTAAAAAAAAAAAAATTATAAAAATAATAATGTCAAATAATTAAAATTAAATGTCTGGAACTTTTCTTAATTTTATTTGTACAAAATTATCAATAACGTTTTGAAAATCAAGTTTTCTTAAAATATCAGAATCCGAATTCATTATGGCTAGTTGATTGAGCCTGTCTCTGTCCATTGAAGTACGCAATCTATTTTTTATATGCTTCAAATTAGAGAATGATCTTTCACTACTGCTGCTTGTAATCATTAAAACAAGATAAATACGAAGAACTATTTCAACATTAGGAAGACAATCTTTTACTTCTTTATTAATTAATATTTTATACATTAAATGTTCTTGACTAATATTGTGAAATTCACTGTTTTCATCTTTAAAATTTTTATAAAATTCTTTAAATTGAATAAGTTCGTTTCCAAAGTGTTCATCGATGTCATCTTGGTAAATTTTAACAAGTTTATTTGCTTCATCTTCAATTTCTTGATTACTTAGTTGTTCTATTTTTCGAAGAAAGCCAAATCGTTGGTATACTAATTCATAAGAAGACATTCGTTTATCCAAGTTAGAAATAAAAGTATCAATAACAGGTAAAAAATTTTGAATTTTTGAGAAGAAGTTAAATCTACTTCGGGTGTTTCATGAGAATCTATTGGATTTAGACGGATATTTCTTTGCCGTTTACGATGTTTCAAATAATCTGTTGTTTCCGAAATGTCTGCTCCTTGTTTTTCATATTGATCAAAAGTATCACGTTTAGCTTGAACAAAATTCTTTAAAGACTTAATAGCAGAAACTGCAGTGTTAAGGTCTAAAGTCGGATCTTGTAGTAATTTATTAGTGCTATCTACTCTTTCAAGGATATTTAAAGCTAGTTTATTATTTTCCAGAACTTTTGACAGGAGACCATTATACTTTCTACTCATTGCAGAAGAATTGTCGTAGGATTGGCCTCTACAATTTTTTATGTTTAAGTCATATTTATTTAAAAAGTTTATTAAACCATCATACATATCTTGAGCTTTATGGCCTTGGTTTGGCATAAATACTAAAAATCTTTCCACTGGTGTATCTCTTTCAAGGTATCTAAAAACTAACGTTAATTGATCTATATGACCTTCATCAGGTGTCGAATCTAATGAAATTGAAAAATATTTAGATAGTTTTATACGAGAAATTATTTCATTCAAAACATTATTTCCCATTATTTCTATTAATTCTTCGCAAATAGTAGAAGATAAATAGTTAGTGTGCCCACTTCTTCTATTTGCATGATTTTCAATATGCTGTTTAAGAAAATTATCATACTCAGCTAACAGCTCTAGAATTCCAAGATAATTGCCATTTTTACGCGAACCGATAATTTCATTTTTACCACGTAAAGCTAAACTTCGTTCACATATAAGNACCACGTAAAGCTAAACTTCGTTCACATATAAGTATTATAACACTTACGAGTCTCTTGATTATATTACGCCAGTAACTCTTTACCTCTTCACTTTGTTTGACAAGTTCATTGTCAATACGGCCTAATTCTTTTGAACGAACAGCTAAATTTATCACAGAATTTAAATGATCTTTGAAAATTTCATGACTTATTAATCGATTATCTGCATGTTTCCAGTCACAGAAACCACCATGAATAAATTGACTGCGTGTTTTGGATATTAATTTACAAACAAAACAAAAAATACTACCATTGAATGGCGAAAAACATAACCATGAACGCTTAATTATTTCTTTGTTGGCAGTTTTTCGCTCAAACAATCATTTATTACAATTACAAGTAAATTTCCATCAAACTGTTTTTTTGATTTTTGTATAAATAATTCTTCATAACAATTTTGTAAATTTGAACTTCCTACTTTTGCCCAATAATCTATTAATCCTGTCATATTTTCAGGCCATAATCCTATATCTAAATTTAAGCCTTCATTTGTTTCTTCAACAATATTTTGAGGTGAAGAGGTTTCGGCGATAGTTACTGATGGAGGTAGTAGAGCAGTTTGATATGACTGAAATAAAAAAAATATTTAAAATCTGTACCTAATTGTAATGTTTATTATTTAAATTACCTAACTTGTATACATATTATTATATACTATTATGTATAATAGTATAAAAAAAACCCAGCACAGGGGGGTCGCGGCACAGTGGTGACGTGACATATTTGGATCAAGTATAATGATATCTGACAGTGATTAAAATCACTATCATAAAAAACGCTTCGATGCAAATCTTTAGATAGTGTTTAATTTTAAAAAATAGGTAAAAAAATTTCGAAAATTAGCCATTTTTAAATTTGTAATTTTTTCGGAGGTTTCCCCCATTTACGGGGAACGAGGGAATTTTTTTCAATTTTTGAGGGTAATGTCTTCGACTAGATACGATTTGTGATCTTTTGACGTATCATTGAAAGAAATCGGTTCGGTGAGAGCTGAGAAAAAGTGGTAACAGACACAAAAAAAAAAAAAACACATCTTAGTAAAACCAATACCTTCTCAGCTTCGCATCGAAGCTAATATATTATTTTAAGTAATATTTATTCTTCGTATAGTAATTGTAAAACTGTATTAACCTCAGAAGAAGAAGTTGTGTTTGGCTTAGTTATGATAAACTCTGTCATTCGCTTAGTTTTTTTAATTATTCCCGTATTTCTTTTATCTTTTTCTTTTGCCAATTTACGTTTTTCTGCACCTCTCATATAAAATCGCTTTAATTTATAACGATCTTTTTCCATTTTTAAATTTTGTTTAAATTATAATACTATTCACTGGATAATACTTATAAAAAACAACTATAGTCTGTAACTAGTGTATACACAACTATTGTTAACTAATGTGCAATAAAAGCAACGAACAAATAACGATAATACACCTACTGACGGATAGTCTGTAATCTGTATTATAAATGATATTACCGAAAAATAATCTTACAATTCTGACAGTGAATTATTGTCGTTAACCATCGTGTTTACTACGACATTTTGACGTATAATTCCAGACCGACGTGTGTATATTTAGAAACAAATTTACTAATATTATTACAAAAGAAACCCAACCCAACCCAACCAGTTAAGTAACGGGTTGTTTTAGTTCAAAACCCCCTTTTTTACCTTTATGTACCTATTTTATCAAAATTCGGATACATTTCGGGGATCTTTATTGCAATAATTATTCGTTAATAGACAGTAATCAATTATAACGCTATTTTATTATATTAATTAATATTTATTAATTAGTGATAAGGGTTATATTTTCCATCAGTTATTATATTGCTACGATATTCATCTACTCCGAAATTTGATAATTTTTTAATCGATTTCGCGAATAATCGATATTCGGAGCTAATTTCATTCGGAGCAATCAATTAATAGTCCTATTCGGAGTATTCATCGTCGTAGTAAAATCCGAATTTTTGTAACCAGGTATTCGTAGTAATTGTTGTCGGAGTAAATGTATTCGGAGGATTTTTTTACAGTGTCGGAGTAAATGAATGTCGGGGCATCATCAGTTCGTGGCAATCTCCGTAACCCATAAATTAAAGATTCCAGGAGGAAATTAATTTTTTTATAGCTTGAATCTATTTTAACTTAATTTATCATTTTTAATGATCTGAACTTTGGTCAATAATTACTTTATTTGTTAAATTTTTTTTAAAGTAATTAATATTAATCTTACACTTGATTACTGGTACGTTAAGAAATTAAACACCAAATAAGACAAAAATCTTGAAAGTAGACAAATCGGTTGCGAGAATGTTGTTAAGTAATAAGTTAAAATCCTCAACATTAAGAGAAAATTAAAAGAAAAACAATATAAAATATAAATTAATTAAAATATTAATAAAACGAAAAACATATTATTTTTCATCGAATTTGTATGTAAAACGAAATGTTTTATTTAGATCAAATAATAAGCAATTGCCTTATTATAATAACTGGTTCTCATTTGGATGTTAGATGTACATCGATAATCGCGGGCTATTACCTAAATATCAATAAGTATTATTTATCAATAAAGAACCGAGAGTACATAGCGCTATCTCTCCAGGTATAAATTAAAAAAAAACTGTTACCAATAGTCTATCTATGTGTATTTACTCTAGAAATTGAAAATGTAAGCTGATACTGAATTTTTAGCTGTTATCGTTATCAAAATTATCTCAATAAAACGTCGTCAACAAATATCGGCATTCCGCATTAGCAACCATTTGCAACATTCGAAGATTCCTCGTTAAATTGGCTCTAGGCCGCAAATCTATTTTTCATTAATACATTTTTTTTTAATATTAAAAATGTTTGGGCCTCGAAAATACATATTTTTGTTAATGATCGGAACTTTATGTTTGGCGGAGAATAACGGTCATCATGGCCACCGGTCACAAGAACTAGACGAAAACAATTGGACGAACATATTAAATGGCGAATGGATGATTTTGTTGTAAGTAAATAGCATTTTAAATGTTAATAATATATTAAAAAATATCTTAAAATTATCGATTTAAAATTTAATTTAATTTTAAAATTATGAAGTTTTATATATTTTAAAATTTATTAATTTCTAATTAAATTTGAAATTAAGTTTATTAAATAAGAGACCTCAAAAATGCTTTATTGTATGATTTTTACAGTATAAATAATAAAATAATGAAAGTCTCACATCAATAAATTGAAAATTTTTAGTATTTAATGTATTTGAAAAATTTGTATTACCTTATTTTTAAATACTTGTTATCAATCATTATATAAGTGTTAATGGTAGACATATCATAGAACAATACAGTTACTGTACCACAGTTGTTTTATGGATACGTTTAATTAATATATGTTTATATTTACTACAAGATATTTCTTCTTGAAGTTCCTATCTGTTTCGGATGTTGAATATTACTTTAATATTGTTGTTGTATTAAACCAATCACATAGATTTTTTAGCCAAGATATTATTCATCTTCCAACGCTTCTCTTATCTTCTATTTTTCCTTTAAGTATAAGTTACAGCAATAAATTTCTTTGGTTATTTCTCATTATGTGACTTAAGTATTTTAATTTCCGTGTTTTTATAGTCTTCAGTAATTCCTTTTATTTTTGCATTCTTTGTGGTACACACACGTTAGATACTTAATCTGTTCATGAGATATTTAGGATATGGTGGTAGAGCCATATTTTCAATGCCTCCATTTTCTTGCTCGATGTTTCAGTTAATGTCCATGTTTCAGTACCATATAATAGAACAGGAAAGATGTAACATATTAATATTCTAATCTTAGTACCCAGAAAAAAATCATGATATTTAAATATCTTAGACATTTATATGAATTCACCTCTAGTCAAGAAATTTAACAAATTTTAAATGATAACACATGACCTTACGAGTATCAGAGTTTTAAACCTTTGTCAAATGTCCAAACATTGATTGTAGGTAAGCAAAAAAAGGTAAACAATTAATGATGTATACGTCATTTTAAATGAAATATATTTCTTTTATTAAATTACTAATTTTAGACCTCATTAAAATTGGAACTGAAGTTCTACTCAATCTTTAGTTGTCATCAAATTTTATTTGAAAACAGTCTTATTTCAAATTTGCTCCTTCAGAAAAACTAATATTATGTCCATAATCCAACCTTTCAAATAAAATAATTTCTATTCATAAATATTGAATAGATCAGCTAAATATTTTTTTTGATCTATTTTTATACAAATGAAATCTATATTGAGTGTTCAATAAGTAAGGAATGGGATTTCTATTGTTCTTATTGTTTGTAACTAACCTGTTTCCTTACTTATTGAACATTTTGTATAATTAAATTAATGGAAAATAAGGTATTTTGTGGCTCAAAAATAAATAAATTAAATAGTAAAAGGTATAGTACAGTAGGAATCAGCAAAGTAGTGTTAAGGCTCTTTTGAAATTAATATTGATTGATATCTGATTGTGCAAAGATTGCTTGTGCAAAGAAGCCAAGTGTGCAGTAAGTAAGGCGAAGTTTAAGAGGTATGATGAGTTGTATGACAGGTTAGGAACAAAGAAAGGCGACAAAGAAATCTATAGACTTGCAAAGATAAGAGAAAAAAGGTCTAAAGATTATCATTATATAAGGTGTATTAAAATTGTTGATAATTAGGTACTCTCAAGTGATGATGATGTGAAAAAAAGGTGGAAAGAGTATTTTGAAAAATTATTGAATGAGGAGTACCCAAAAGAGACATTAGTGGATATCTCGTGGAATGAAGGACTGGTAGATGTAATTAGTGAGAAAGAGGTATGGGAGGCTGTGGCATCAATGAGAAAGGATGAAGCAGAAGGACCAGTAGAAATATGGAAAATATTAGGTGATGTTGGCATAAGGTGGTTGAAGGAACTTTTAAATAAAATCTTATTAGAAGGGAAAATACCAAATGAATGGAGGAATAGTATTGTGGTGCCGATATTTAAAGGTAAAGGAGACATACAAGAGTGTGGAAATTATAGAGACATAAAGCTTATGAGTCATAGTATGAAGATTTAGGAAAGGGTAATAGATAAGAAATTAAGAAATGAGACATTGATATCTAAAAACCAGTTTGGATTTATGCTTAGTATGTCAACAATGGAGCAATTATTTTGTATGGGACAACTAATAGAAAAGTATAGGGAAATAAGAAAAAGCTGTATATGGTATTTATAGATTTAGAGAAAGTGTATGACAGAGTACCGAGAGAGGTTTTTAAGTGGGCATTAATGAGTAAAAGATTCCCAAAAAGGTACACTAATATAATAGAGGATATGTATCATGGCACTTGTACCCGGGTAAAAAGCGTAGGAGGAGTATCAGAAGGTTTTCGGGTAAGAGTAGGAGTGTACCAAGGTTCTGCTTTATGCCCTTACTTATTCTCTATAGTGATGGATGAAATTACTAGAGAAATAAAAGGAGAGGTGCCGAGGTGCATGCTGTTTGCTGACGATATAGTGTTAACAGGAGAAAATAGGGAGGAAAATAATCAAAGGCTAGAGGTGTGGAGATCATCTCTTGAAGAAAAGGGTTTAAGAATAAGTAGAAGTAAAACAGAGTATATAGAGTAAGAATTTGACAAAAGAGAACACGAGGTAGGTGAAATGAAGATATCAGTGACAATAGGCAAGGACGTGATTGGAGAGGTGAAGAGTTTTAAGTATTTAGGGTCAGTTGTGTAAAAGAGTGGTGGTATTGACGAGGATGTAAGACACAGAATTAAATGCGGGTGGTTGAAGTGGAGAGAATCGTCTGGCGTCTTATGCAATATGAAAATTCTAATAAGGCTGAAAGGTAAATTTTAAGAGACTGTAATAAGGCCAGCTATGATGTATGGTTCAGAGTGTTGGGCTGTTGATAAAAAAGTAGAGTAGAAAATGAGTGTAGCAGAGATGAGAATGCTTAGATGGATGAGAGGAGTGACTAGAGAAAATAGGATAAGAAACGAGCATATAAGAGGAAGTATAAGTGTAGCGTCAATCGTGAATAAGATGAGAGAAAATAGACTTAAATGGTTTGGTCATGTTATGAGGAGAGAAGAATCGGAAGCTGTAAGATCAATTATAGAAATGAATATTGAAGAAACAAGAGGTAGAGGAAGACCAAAAAAGAGATTGAGGGATGTTATTGAATGCGATATGAGGATAGTTGATGTGAGCGTAGAAGATGTGGAGATCGTGTCAAATGGAAGTTTGGGATAAGGGTAGCCGAGCTCAAGTAGTTGGGATTAAGGCGATGAAGAAGAAAAAGAAGAAGATTGATATCTGATAGTGATTAAAATCACTGTTAAAATACAAGGTTTATTTAATAGGTAAAAAAAAAAAGGAATTCTTATCACAATTATTTTAAAAATAATAAAAAGACTTTCTTTTTTTAATTGTATAATACATATAACACCTTAAATTTAATTTAGTATTGAATGATAAAATTATATTTTGTTGGTAAGAAAAACACTTCAAAATTTTTCATTTTTAAAAAAAAATTGTTTGATTTTTAGCTTTATGCCTAATAAATCATAAAAATCTAAATTTTATACAGTTCTTCTTTTTTTATCTCAAAGTACATTGTATTAGCTTTAATTTTATGTAGGTTTTAAAAAGCAGGTTTTTTAGAATTTTATAAAAAATTGAAAAAAAAAACATTTTGATATAATATTTAGGCCTTCCTAGTATTTTAATTAATAATTGAATTTTCAAAAAAGTATATCGTCAGTAAGGAAATTATTTGAAGTATTACAATTTCAAAATAATCTGTCCAGTTTTTTTAAAAGATATTTCAATATAAAATGAAATCTAAAAATATCAATATTGACTGTTTTGTGACATTTCTCCTTATTACTGAGACTGAATAGAATTTTTCAAAATTATTGTGTTGAAAGCTTCAACTAGTTACGTTTTATATACCTATGTCATATCATTAAGTAAAATGAATCTAATAGGAGTGGGAGTATCGCATATACAAATACAAAAAAAAATACAGAATAGTAAAACCAATGGCTTCCCAATTATGCATCAAAACTAAAATTTCTATATAAATCACAAAAAATAATAGAATTATAATTTTTATTAAAATATTTATTAATTTCTAATCTTCATATCTTATTTTATACTCCTAACCAGTAGTATAGTCTTGGTAGAGTACGGGGATATTGGATTGCTAGATTTTTAATACTTTTATTTTGTATTACATTTTAGTTATGCTCCGTGGTGCCCAGCTTGTAAGTCTCTTGAACCTGAATGGAGAGCATTTTCAAAATGGAGTGAAGATCATTCTCATATTTCAGTTGCAAGTACAGACATCACAATATCTCCTGGACTTACTGGTCGTTTTATGGTTACAACATTACCAACTATATTTCAGTGAGTCTTAAGTATCACTAAAGTATTACACAAAAATTTTAAACTGGCTAATTAGTCATTTTTTAAGTTTAGAAATTGACAATGGGTTTTGTGTAAATTGTATGAGTCAGAACAAATTTTTTTTTTAGCTTCGATTCGAAACTGAGTAGGTATTAATTTTACTATGATGTGATTTTTTTGTCTGTTACCACTTTTTCTCAGCTATCACCGAACCGATTTCTTTCAATAATAAATCACAAGATCACAAATCGTATCTAGTCGAAGACATACCCTTTAAAAATTGAAAAAATTACCCTCGTTCTCCGTAAATGGGGAAACCTACAAAAAAATTACAAATTTAAAAATCGCTAATTTTCGAAATTTTCAATTTTTTTGTACTTAAAACTGCCATAACTTTTTCAAAATGAACAAATTAATATAAATTTTTTTTTAATAGATGCATAATGTTCTTACCTATCATTTGGTATATTTTGTATATAAATTTGACCCTAGACCTGCCCACAGGGTGGGATTTAAAATGACAACTTTTTAACAAAAAATTAACTTTTTTAACTTAACTTTTGAAAGTGTTCCGGAAATACTAACACTTATATATATATATTAAATTAAAGCTTATGTAATATACTTCAATATTAAAAAAAAAAATTTCTGACTTTTTTTTGTTTTCATGATGAAAACAGTCATCAAAGTTAATAAAAAAAATACGATTTTTGTAAAAAAAATCCTTTATTATATTATTAACTTTATAACGCTATAAATCTTTGAAAAATGTATGGATCAATACAATTTTTTTATGAGAAATAATATTTATATACTTCTTTAATTTGACATATTTTTTTTTTAATTGGACCAGTTCCCTTAATACAGATGGGGTTCAAATCTTTAAAATGCATATAGAAAGTAGAACTTTTTCATCCTAATTTTTGAAAGTGTTCCGGAAATACTGACACTTTTATATATATCTTAAATTAAAGCTTATTTAATATACTTTAATATTAAAAAAAAATTTTGGACTTTATTTTGTCTTCATAGTGAAAATAGCTACTGTATTCAAAAATATGCTATTTTTGTGTTAAAATTGTTGGTTTTGTATTTTATTTTATTATAAGGGGATTACAGTGATTTTCATAAATATTATATCTATCTAATTGATATAGTATAAAAAGTTAAACATATATAAATTTTTTTGTTTCTTTGAACTCGAGAAAAATAACTTTAAAATTTGAACTAGCTATTTTTTGAATATTTTGCCTCCTACGTTAAAAGAACTGTATAGAACTATATAAAATTGTTCTTTTTATCCATATATCGGTTTGATGTATGGTTGATGAGTCGGTTACAATTCAGAGTTTCATACTCAGAGTACGGCATTCAAATACCTTCGTTGAATATTTCGGAATTGAATAAAAAATTTCGGACTTTATTTTTTCTTCATGGTGAAAATGACTACCAAATGCTATTTTTGTGTGAAAATTCTCGATTTTATTTTTTGCATTTTTAACTTTATAATGCAATAACTTATTGAAAAGTGTATGGATGAACACAATTTTTTTATGAGAAATAATATTTTTAATAATCCCTTTTTCATTCGATATACTTTATCTGAATCAGGATATAAATAAAAAAAAATAGCAGATCATATAGCTTTTGGAATAATCCAGCAATTTTTTTAAATTAAACACTATCTAAAGATTTGCATCGAAGTGTTTTTTTTTTTAATAGTGATTTTAATCACTTTCAGATATCATTATACTTGATCCAACTATGCCACGTCACCACTGTGCTGCGACCCCCCTGTGGTGTGTTTTTTTAACTTATAGTATGTAACAAAAGCTTTACTTTAACATATGTTTAATGTTTGGATTATATTCAAAACATTTTCAAAAGTTAAAAAAGTTAACTTTTCATGAAAAGTTGCTATTTTTAATCCCCATCCCATGGACAATTAAAGATTCAATTCATCCATTTTTAGTGATGAGTTTTAAAAATAAAATATTTCTATTTCAAAAATCGTAAAAGTTATGTCTTCAATTAGGTACAATTTGTGATTTTATGATGTATTTTGAAAAAATTATTCATGTGAGAGCTAAAAACAGTGGCAATGGAATAAAAAAACACATCATAGGGAAATTAATACATTCTCAGCTTAATATTGGAGCTAAAAAGATAACAAATAATTATGATCTTGTGATTTTTTTCATCCTATCAATCGTTACACATTTTTAGGGAACTACTAACTTAACATAAAAAATTATAGATTAAAAAAATATTAGATTTATTAGAGATCTATTTTATCAAGTTAATTATCCTATTTTTTAGTAAATTAAAAACTTTTAAACTTATTTAGTTTATATTACTTTATAGAAAAATAGATATGATAAATAATCTTTAAAATTTATATATATACAGAGTAATTTTTTTATCATAACCCACTCAATTATATACAGAATAAATATAATTAAACTCGCAACAATGTGCTTTACTACCATTGATAATAAATGCTGTATACTTACGAATATTGCTGTCAAAAAAAAACCAATTGGTTACCTGTATTTATATTCCCTTGTGTATTATACATGTATATTAACTCAAAAATTTGAAACTTTAAATGTTTATATCTAATAAACAAATAAAGTTATTTTATAAATCCAATTACCATTTATTATTACATTAAAACTCTAGCATTTTATTAAATTCAAAATGTGTGTTCCCATTTAAAAAAACAAAGTTGACACCCATACAAGGCATAAGGGATGAACTTCTACAATATAACATAGTTAATAATTCAAGAATAATGTGTAACTAAAAGTAACCAAAAAAAATTAAAATTATATTTATTCTGTAAGTAATTGAGTAGGTTATGATAAAAAAAATCATTCGGTATATAAAAATAATATAATTGTATCATTATCACTTTTAAAATAAAATAAAAATGTAATGTGTTTTAAATTATTAAAAAAGTAACCGAAGTATTAAAGTATTGTTTTTTTATGTATCTTGTTACATAATTACATTTATAATTATATTAAAAGTAATCCAATACTGGTAATAGTTTAGAGTATTTATGTAAGAATGTAAAATATACTAATTACTAGTATATTAAAATTATTAATAATAAAAAACATATTTAATTTAACTTTAATTTTTATGATAATTTTCTCTAGTGTAAAAGATGGAATATTCAGGTATTATAAAATGGGTCGTGATAAAGATATTATGGTAAATTTTATAAAAGAACGCAAATGGGAACAATTAGAACCTATATCCTCTTGGAAAGCTCCCAACTCTATTCAAATGTCACTGGTTGCTCAATTTTTCAAACTCTCTCAAAAAGTTAGAGTAAGTAAAAAATTAAAATTTATTCCTAACAATTATTTATATATCTTACTTTTTAATTTTTGCTAGGTAATACATTCTACACTTATGGCTGAATATGGACTTCCAACATGGGGATCTTACTTAATATTTGCTATTGCCACTATTTTTGTTGGCGCAATACTTGGATTGGTAATTATAAAGTGTAATTGAGATTCTCATATATTTTAGTTGATCAAATAATTGATATATTATAGTTTTTGGTCTGTATAATTGATTTGATATATCCACCACGTCATGCTAAATTTCCGTCAAAAGATAAAAAAGAAGAAAATAGTGATAGTGGACAAGAATCAGTGAGAAATTGTTTTATAAACCTATTATTATTATTTTATTTAAACATATTAATTTCCTATCTAGGATGATGATGAACTTGTTAAAGATGAATTATTAGATGACCAAACTAATGAACCAAAAGAAAAAGAATTGTCAGTGAGAAACAGGCGCAAAATTCGTAAAACTGACTGAAGAATTCTTTTTTATGTTAAATATTTCTATCTTCAAGATAATTCCAGTTACATTTCGATTCTAATTTTTGTATTATATTTTTTCTAATCTATAACCCAATTGTTATACTTACTTTTTTTTAGTCTACAAAATTAATATAAATAATTATAAATTAATAACATAATCAATCATTAATATGTATTACTATGTTAATTGTAACAGAAAAATTAGGCTAAAAGTATTATTTTATTTATAATGCTTATTGTTCCTCAATTATTGTAAGTAGAAATTCTTTTGTTCAATTTTTTTTTTTTCAAAATGCAAAATTGCATACATGTAAATATATATGTATAGCCATAGTGACTACTGTAAATCTTAATACAAAATTACTTTTTCGGTTTGCACATATGTACCAGGAAAAAATAGATTGATATTAGGTTATTGTAACTTATCATCATTTGGTCCAACATTAGTTACATCTATAATTAAATTTCAATTTTTAATAAACTTTCACAGAATTTATAAGTGATTTTTAAAAATCAAGTTTCATTAAATAAAATAATACTAATAAATAATAAAAGCTTATATACTATAAAATTTCCAATTATAGGCCTCCTTATAAAAAAATATTGCATTTAATTTAAATATGTAGACTTCAGTATTATTAATACTAAAAAAATTGATAATCACCTAAACAGGCTCTAAATTTCATACTTTTTTATTAAATGCCTTTCCAACATTGTATAAACTGAAAAAAATGAATAGAAGTATAATAATAAATATTGATTTTTTTTTATATGAGCTTCTATTTTAGGTTTTTATTCTTAGTAACGATATAACAAACACAATTTAATATTTAATAATTTATGTATAATTATATAATAAATAACTTAAATATGATTCAAGTATTAATAATTAGTTAATAAATAATACATTTTATTTTAGGTTGATTATTTAATAACACATTTGAAAATTTCAATTTTCAAAATTGGACTATTGCTTGTTATATTTATTTTTTGTATAATTTTATACATGTTTCATATCAACTGTAAAACAATTATAGAATTATGCTATATTTTAAATAAAAACAGATATATCCCAGATTTTAATTATTCTATCTTGACCAATAGTAACAATACATTTACGTTGAGTATCTAATGTCATTGATACAACACTATGTTTAGTATCATGGAATGTTGCCAAAGGAGTATGGCTGAAAAGAATAATTAAAAAATATAGATCAACATAGAATATTTATATGACTATTAAAAACACAAAGTGAAACAAAATCTTACTCAATATTGGTGCTACAAAATTTGCAAACACGTACAGGAAGTTCAAATCCCAATAATGGTATAGTAGATTGTTCTTGACTACATTTATCACATAAAGCTCGACCACAAGCTCTGCAATGATGCTGTCGAGAACCAAATTGTTTACGTTCAAATATTCCACTTATGTTCCATAAAAATGGTCGACTGCATGATTCACAATTATCTGATTCAGCCCATGGAGGTGTCTAGTTATAAAAAAAATAATTATCACACGATAGAATTTTAATTAAACATAAATAATTTTTTTAGTTCCATTGCATAATTGAGAAAAACATTTAGATTTACTCTAGTTTTTTTTTTTTTTTTTTT